TATAACGTTGACACCGTTTCAAACCGAAATAACGATCATATGCCACCGTATGAGTTCTATTTTATTTTTAACAGAAACAAAATTTGCTTATTATCTTCTTTCCCGCTTTCTACATCTACTTAAATTTATCTACATATATCTATGCGCATGAGAAATTTACAGGGTTATTATTCGGTAAGGGGGTTGTTCGTTATAATATACAAATCTTCCATGTTTGGTTCAACACTGCTTAACGGACAGAACTCATACGTACACTCCGATTCACTTGAATATCTATCAACGTTTTTTCCTCAAGATAGGAGCTTATATCATAGTTTAATTTCGTTTTAAAGAACGGTCAATTCCGAAGAAAATTGGGGAAATTAAAACACCTTGATTACTTTAGTCCACTTTTTATCAAACTTAACAGAACACAAAAGCTAGACGGAAATAACAAAAAGTCCCTTACTAGGTCAGCATCTAATTGTCGAAATAGTGGGCCAAAATTAAAGAAAAAACGTTGACGTTGATGATACCAGAAGGTGGACTATAAATTACTCTACGCACTTGTGCGCAGAAAATATCAAAAACTAGTGAACCCGGATGGCGTTAAATGCCCAGAATTTAATTTCAAAACCCTAGAAAATACTCCAAATGCTAGTCAGAGTTATAAAACATCTGAGTCCCATATCTTCTATATATATAAAATAATAGCCGTTTTCGTTGTTCGGAGTTACCTCAAAAACTACTGCATAGATTTCAGTCAGAGGTTATACCTTGTATATATGGTCCTATTATACGCTACCACAAAACTCGGTAGGTGGCGCTGGGGTAGAGTTATTTGTAAAAGTCGTATTTATGAACCGATTTATTTTAAATTCAAAATGTAAGCTACCAGCATGATGGCAAACACGTTTACCAAAAATAGACGCGCTAGGTGGCGTGGGAGTCGTGTTACTTACAAAAGTCGTATTTATGTACGGTTTTTTTTTCAAATTCCAAAGGTATAGTTTCAGCATAATGGAAAATACGTTTACCAAAAACGGAGCCGCTAGGTTGCGTGGGATGGCTAAATCAAGGATGCGTTTAAGTATGCATATAAAGACCGTAACACTATGTAAGCGTGATCTTGCATATATTACAGCAGTAAGACTCAAAAAAACCAATTCATAAATATTAAGACGAATTGTAAAAGTGGCGAATTGACAAGGAAAGATTCGACCACATCTGTCCAAGAAGGAACGCGATAGGTATATCAATGGCTTCATTTGAACGATATTCATGAGATCACATGACCCATTTAGCCAATGTACGCGAAAATTTTTCATCCTGTGGGGCAGCGAGGATTCTTGGCCCTCCTATAATTGGAAACGTTCATCTGTGCTCTTGATTTTCCGTATAAGAACTTTTATTGGCTTACATGGTACACCGGACCAATGCTGAAGTTGCAGGATCATAGAAGAATATTACGCACGCTTGGCAAAGATCTCACAGGTGGACATAAGACCATAGGTAAAACGCATTACATCGAAAGGGATTACTATTCTATATGGAATCACAGCGCTACTATTCTTGTCATATGTGTGAGGAGGATTCCGTTTTTTAGTTGTTTCAATTTAAACTAAAAATGTTTGCTTTACAGACCGCTTTTGCTTTTAAACGCTATTTTTGAATTGGCCAACGCAAAAGATATTATTAGGCGCCGCGAAGCAAGCGGACATTTGCTAGTTTCATCTAAATCCGTGCAGCCGTTTCTTAGTGAATCACCGGTACGGTAAAAAGTTCTAAATTTAAAAAAATTATACTTTATCATACATCTACAGGCTAAGGTCTTTAATTTGATTACACATTTTTAAAATTCGAAAGCTCGGTGCAAATCTAATGATCAAAAAGTATTTTCAGACTGAAATCGTTCTAAATCTCTTTCGTCTGAATTTTTTTGTGATACATATTTCAATTAACTGATGAATTAAGTTGAACTTGATTTTTTTAAACATGTGTGTGTGCTAATTATAGTTTAGAAATTAAGCATTTCAAACCCATTTTGATTGATACTTATCATTTAATAATTAATTACTTGTTAAATAATTTTAATTTAAATTTTTAAACACGTTGCAACCCTCTTGAAATTCCTCAAAAATATTCTAAATATTCAAACCAAATATTTCTTAAACACTCTTTCGCCCATATCTTAATATTCCAATTAATAATTTTAATGTCACTTTTTAAATACCAGGGTTGCCACAAACATTTCAGATGTTCAAAATGAGGATTTATTAAGACTCTTTCATTTGAACACCCGTATTTGCATACTTCAAATAACTTGTGTATAATTTAATTAAATTCGAATTTTTGAACAGTTGGTAACCCTCTTCAAAAGTATCTACTTCGTCTTACATGGCGATACATATTTTAATTAACTGATGAATTGAGTTCAATTTGTTTTTTTTTTTTTTTAACATGCGTCAACCCCGCTAAATATAGTCCGTAAATAAATCTTTCTCAAACAAATTTTGATTGATACCCATATATTATTAATTCATTTAACTTATAAAATAATTTGAATTTAATTTTTGAACTCATGGCAACCCTCTCCCAACACCTCAAAAATATTCTTAGCGTTCAAACTAAAGATTTCTTAACACTCCCTCGTTTGACATCCATATTTTGATATGTCGTACAACTTGGGTATAAGTAAACTAAATTCGACATTTCAAGCAGGTGGAAACCCTTTTCAACCCTCATATAGTTCAGCTAAGAAACAAAGCTTTTCAAATCCATTTCGATTGATACCCAGTTTGTAATAATTTATTTATTTTTTTAAATAATTTGAATATAACTTTTTAAAAGGTGGCAACTAATTGCACATCTATATTCCAAGGCCTTTAGTTTGACGCCTCATTTTGGAAAATCGAACGAACGGTGCGGATTTGATGGCATTGGTTATTAAATAATTTGAATTAAATTTTTCAACAGGTTGCAACTCTCTTCGAAAAACTAGAACCAGTTTGCACATCTACTGACCAAGCGCTTCAATTTTTGAAAGTCGTGAGAACGGTACAGATCTTTTATCCTGGACAAAACATCCCTTCGCGTTTATATACATATATGTATATGTATAGATATATATGTGTATATATATATAGATGTGTATAAATTTTACAGCACAACGTTAAGGAAAACGACTGGAATTTTGTACAACTCACGTACCTGGAAGGACGACTAGTAAATAGTGGTTTTCTCCAATGAAAAGTTTAATTTTGACGGATTTATTAATAGTTGTCACAATTTGTGCAAGGACGAACGTTGTTTCACCTCCGTGATCAAAAAGATGGTATGGCGGTGCGAACCGCGGTTTCTTAGTCTATAGCAGTTCAGGCAATAAAACAAGTATTAAGGGCATTTTTTTAACATTTGTAGCATATTCCCGCACCTTGTTCTTGAATATTGAGATGTAAAAAGAGGACACATCAGAAGCATTTCATGTCACCGCGGCCACCTCTGTGCGCGACCTCTATGAATTTGGATGAAAGTTGAAGAGATTGAAGGTCTAGGTGACGTGAATATACGTGCAGCATATTTTACCGATATGACGTAGGGTTGCCTATTTACACGGGACTTAAATTTTAAGAAAACGTCATACATACCTTTCTTTAAAGTGCTGTATTTTGGTGACCTTTTAACGCAGCTTAATGAAACAAAATGTATTTCTTCCGTGTTATTATGGGCTTTAATAGTGCATTTATTACATTAATGTGCAATGTATAAAAAAAAAAAATTAAAGTAAACATTTTTCTTTTTGATTAATTTTTTTTATTATAGCATTTTTTTAAATTTTTATTTTTACATAAAAANATATTCACGCACGCCGCCAATTTATTGTCAAAAATTTCTCATGCACATGCAACTTGTATGAGATCAACCGAAATTGAACGGCGTGCGTATGAAGCTAACTCAATTTCCAATTTTTGTTCTGCGTGACATTTTGATTTGACGTTTCGCTCAATGAAATCAAATGCAAACGCATGCAAGTCAATTTCGGGTGACGCCAAAAAACAAATTCGACGGCATGCGTACCAGACTCTATATCGTCTAACGCTAGAGCAATATGATAAATAGACATGGAAATTTTATGAAATTGTATATTTTTGAAAGAGGAAAGGTGTGTGGCAACACCAAATCCAGCAAGACAAAAATGCAACTCTGTTTTATTCGTTTAGTGTTGCTCCTTTTTGCTTTCTTTCTTTTTCTGGCTTCTGGAATCATCGGAGACGATCGCGTGTTTCCTTGGTATCCTTACATTTATTTATGTGACTTTTATAACTTGTTTTTGATAAATAGAAAATATTGTACGATATTAAATTAGAATAAATAAAGCGTATTCGTAAGTGGAACCATATCCACATATTGGTGACCCCGAAAACTGAGCATTGCTACATAAGTCTTACTGGCGCCAGCATTATATCCATCTGCATCAGCTATTCATCGCTACCCAACGTTCGATTCTGTGCACAGCTTGGTCTGCCCTCTGTTCCTACCGCATCCGGCACATTAGTTTATGTCCTGTCAATCGCACATTGAAGGTTCTCACTGCGTTGGGCCAAAGACGAGAGCGCCACGCTAGTTTCTTCCTTAAACTATTTGTGAAGACTGAAATTGCCTTCATCTACTCACAACTATTTCACATCTCTAGTCCATACACCTGATTGCGCACTATCACAGCGCAACATATTCACACGCGTTCCATCGTGCACAGCAATTACAAAGATTTGATTAAGCACTCCGCCATTATTCACCATTGCTGTACATCATTAGCCACCACGTTTTTCATCACATAGCCGAGTACATCAACAATCAATACTTCACCATGCCAACGGACGGTGAAGACCTTGACAATGCTATTGTCAATAATCCAGCCGCGCCACCGGCACCTGCTCCTGTCACGCCATTCGGTCATGGTACGGAAAGCACCGACGTAAACAGTTTCGCAGCACGAGTGGAAGTACCGCAGCTAAGCGGGTTCTCCCTGCAGAGAATCGAATCATGGTTCACTCGACTTGAAGCATTCTTCGGGATCAATAACTTTGGAAAGATGAACCAAGACCAACGCGACAACACAAAATTCAACATAGCAGTCATGTATATGGATGAACGTCTTCACGAGCAAGCATTTAATGTCGTACGGAACCCACCTGCTAAGTGTAAGTACGAAGCGTTACGCACGACAATTTTGAGCAAATTTTTCGTTTCGCCGATTGCCCGCCTGGAGCAGTTGACTTCCGGTATTCAACTGGGCGACAAAAAGCCAAGTCATATGTTAACTCAACTTCAGCGAACTGGAGTTACATCCGACAAGCAACTCATGAAAGATTTTAANACTTCAGCGAACTGGAGTTACATCCGACAAGCAACTCATCAAAGATTTTTGGCTGCAAAAGTTACCTGTATCAGCACGGGCAGTCATCACCGGCATAGACAAGGGTAATCCAGAAATGACGCTGGAACAACTAGCGTCAATAGCTGACAAGATAATTGACGTAGTACGCGCGAACTCAGTGGATGCAGTCACTGCCCGCAACCCCCAAGACCAGACCGTGCATAACACGACAACGCCTTGTGGTAGCAATTCGTCGATCGAAAGCCGAATTGAACGCATTGAACGGGCTCTTTCACGCATCGATACGAGCACTAAGCTGGATAGCAATCGCAGATCTCGTTCTCACAGTCGTAACAAAGGCGCCATGCGCACATCGTCCAACTCCCAGCAAGTTATCTGTTGGTACCACAAGCGATTCGGCGACCAAGCGCAGAAATGTAATTCACCATGCAACTATAAATCAACAAAAAACTAATGCCGTCGGCCGCATCATCGCACCAACAAGGCTGCATTAATCCCAGTAGTACAACTCACAGACTTTTTATCTTCGATCGCAAATCAAACCAGAGATTTTTAATCGATACTGGTGCTGACATATCGGTCGTTAATGCACATACTACTACGCGTTCGCCCATAGCGCAATCAACACCTCAATTGTTCGCTGCCAACAATACCCAAATCAAGACATTTGGTACTATACGCCTAAATATTGACTTAGGACTCCGAAGGTCATTCGAATGGACGTTTATCGCGGCCGAAACCAAGCACAACATTATAGGAGCTGATTTTTTAAGCAAATTCAACATCCTGGTAGATATTCACAATTCTCATTTTATCGAAACAGAAGGCCAACCTGTATTTTCCAGACCACGAAGGTTAACACCAGACAAATACCAAGCAGTTAAGGAGGAGTTCCAATATCTCATGAAGCTTGGCGTTTGTCGACCGTTAAAGAGCTCTTACGCCTCGCCTCTCCACGTCGTGCGAAAAGCTGATAATTCTTGGCGACCCTGTGGCGATTACAGGGCACTCAATGCGCAGACACTACCCGACCGTTACCCGCTGCCACACATTCAGGATTTCACCTGCTACTTACACGGTAAATCGATTTTTTTTAAAAATCGACCTATACCGTGGGTACTTCCAAATCCCGGTTGCTGAAGAAGACGTGCCCAAAACAGAAGTCACTACACCCTTCTGGCTCTACGAATTTCTACGCATGCCCTTTGGTCTTCGAAATGCTGCCCAGACCTTTCAAAGGTATATGCACGAGGCTCTGCGCGGGTTTGACTTCGTTTTTTGTTACATCGACGATGTGTGTGTCGCATCAGCATCAGAAGAAGAGCATACTAAACATTTACGACTTGTTTTCGAAAGATTGCGACAACATCGTCTCACTATTGATTCAGCGAAGTGTGTTTTCGGTGCAACCCAAATTGAATTTTTGGATCATTTGGTCACACCTAAAGGTATTCGCCCAACTGCGGCAAAAGTTGAAGCAATTATCAAATTCCCTTTGCCAAAATTTGCATTTGAGTTAAAGCGGTTCTTGGCCATGTTAAACTTTTATCGCAGGTTTATACCACATGCTATCGAGCATCAGCAACCCCTCTACGCACTTGTTGGTGGTAATAAAAAGAAAGATAAATCTCTCATCGTTTGGAGCGAAAGCTCTATGTATCATTTTCAACAGTGTAAAAACGACTTATCCAACGCTTCACTATTAGCTCACCCAGCTCCCTCAGCAAACATCATTCTCTGTACAGATGCAAGTGACAGTGCCATGGGAGCAGTGGTACATCAAATCATAGAAGGTGAGCCTCAGCCGCTTGCATTTTTCTCCAAGAAGTTTTCGAACTCACAATGCAAGTACAGCACATACGATCGGGAACTGCTCGCAATCTACAGTGCCATTAAACATTTAAGGTATCTGTTAGAAGGAAGAGAGTTTACTATAGCCACTGATCATAAGCCGCTCACTTTTGCATTCACTCTGAAGAAGGACAACGCACCTCCGCGACAAATACGTCATCTCGACTTTATCGGACAGTTTTCAACAAACATTGTACACATTTCAGGAGCGACGAACATCACTGCAGATGTGCTATCACGCATACACGCGCTTAATATATCATTTGATGACGTTATTGACCACAAAGAGATGGCTAAACAACACCTAAACTATGAAGAGCTTCAACAAATGCTAAATACGGGCAAAACCTCTTTACGTTTTAAATTAATCAAATTACCATCGACGGAAACTTCTATAATGTGTGATGTCTCTCGAAGCGCAGCACGCCCATATGTGCCACCGGAGCAACGAGAGAGAGTTTTAGCGAAATTTCATAAGTGCCAGGGCTCCCGGTAAGGGAGCAACATCACGACTCATTAAACAACATTTTGTTTGGAAATGCATGGAAGCAGACGTAAGTAAATTCGTGTCGCATTGCATAGCATACCAACGCGCAAAGGTGGGTAGGCACGTAGTTTCACCACTCGAAAAGTACTGCTTGCCATCACATCGATTCGGCCATATAAACATCGACCTTATCGGGCCTTTGCCTCCATCCAATGGTTACAAGTATTGCTTAACCATAATCGACCGCTTTTCTAGATGGCCAGAAGCAATCCCTCTGGAAGACGTCAGCGCTGATACGGTGGCCCTGGCACTGTTAAATGGTTGGATTAAGAATTTCGGTTTACCGCTGCGGATCACTACTGATCAAGGTCGACAGTTTGAGTCAACGCTTTTCCAAGAACTCTCTCGAGTACTTGGCATTCAACATTTACGGACGACAGCGTGCCACCCTCAGGCGAACGGCATAATTGAGAGGTTCCATCGAACACTTAAGGCCTCAATCATGTGCAGCAATTCTACCAACTGCTCATATCAGCTTCCATTGATCTTGTTGGGTCTACGATCTGTTTACAAGCCAGACATCAAAGCGACGCCTGCTGAACTCGTCTATGGCACATCCATCAGACTACCAGGTGACATGTGTGAGACACGTAAGAGCACATCACAATATGAGTTTGTTCAGAAATTGTTGAACCACATGCATGAGCTCCAGCCCTCGAGTACATCTCATCACGACACCCGTAGGCCGTTTATGTTACCAGGGTTGGCAACTGCTACACATGTTTTTGTGCGCAACGACACAGTGAAGCCTGCATTAACTCCAGCATACAACGGCCCTTACGAAGTTGAAAGTCGAGCTCCTAAAACCTACGTGCTCAAGATCAAAAACAAATCCGTCACGGTTTCTATACATCGCATTAAACCTGCCTTTGTTAGCCACTCTCCGGAAGAAGCGCAACATCCAGTGCAACTAGTGCCCGCATCAGGAACTAAACATCAGACGACTGATTCTGAAGAGAAACAACCTACTTCGACAAATTTAAAGACAAGGCTGGGACGAACAGTCAGACTTCCACGTCACGCTACGCTCTTTAGAAGTCTGGAGGGAGTTTTGTGGCAACCCCAAATCCAGCAAGACAAAAATGCAACTCTGTTTTATTCGTTTAGCGTTGCTCCTTTTTGCCTTCTTTCTTTTTCTGGCTGTTGGAATCATCGGAGGCGATCGCGTGTTTTATTGGTATCCTTACATTTATTTATGTGACTTTTATAACTTGTTTTTGATAAATAGAAAATATTGTACCAGATTAAATTAGAATAAATAAAGCGTATTCGTAAGTGGAACCATATCCACAGGTGTGTATGAGACAAAAACAATATGAACAAATCGTATTAACCTTACTAAAGGTGTGAAACCATGAAAATCCCTTCAAGGAAATGGCAGAATTGAACTTTGTTGCAAGTTCGCATGGGAAATCTGCTTACGACGTGATTGGAGGACATTTTAAGAGACTGGCAGCTAGAGCAAGTATTCAACTCCTGATGTTACAACAAATTCGTACACCCGAAGCCCTCCACCAATGGGATGCCTGTAAAAATAACTGCAACTAACTTTTCAGTGGACTTTATTTCGACTATGACTACGTGCCAATTACTTTAATTTAAGCTAGCTTTTAGTTTAAAAGTTTAAATAACATCAAGTTAGGGAACTTCATATCCTTATTTAACGAATCTTTAAATCAATAAATAATTTTTTTCTTTTCAGTTCTTATTGTAATAAAAGTATATTACTCCAGAACTAAATTTGCACAGGAACACAATAAATTATGAATTGATAAAGGTAAAAGATTACTTTTATTGTGAAAAAAATAGCCGATTAACCAATCAGCTGATAAATAACCTAATCGAAAAACCCATAATTGTGCTTGAAAGTCGTCACTTCAATAACACTGGTTTACAGCAAAAATGTTCTATGGATGCCACTATCCAATTTCTATGTAGAATTTCTCGGTGATTCCGAAAATCGAGTTAATTTTTTTCTATGGATAAGTTTTCGAGGTATTTTTAATTTACCATTATTCAGCTTAAAGCAAAAATTGGTTCCTTTTAATCACGTATATCTTACGAACCAATTTAACAATCTTAATAAAAAATACGGCAGATGACAGTTAATAAAATTCTCCATAAACCGCATATAAATCAATTTCCGATAGGACTTATCATGTATATCTTACGAACCAATTTAACAATCTTAAACGGAGATACGTCAAAGTTAATAAAATTCTCCATAAATGTATACATATATATCACTCTCCGATAGGACTGGTAGTTTCTGACAAATTAATTAATCATTCCAGTTTTTTTTAATGAAAAAAATCACTCTTTAACAGAAGAAAAATTAAAAAAATAACAGGTTCCGTGCCAAATTTTTGCATTTGTGCTAAAGCTTGTTCTGTTCGTAAGATAAACGTGATTAAGTGGAACCACACTGAATAACGGTAAATTGCAAATATCTCGAAAACGTATCCATAGAAAAAAAAATTAACTCGATTTTCGGAATCACCGATCAAGTCTACCATACATAGAAATTGGATAGTGGAGAACAAAAACCAAACTAAAATTTGTGATCCAGTGTAATCACTTCACTTTTCCCCCCAAGTCACTCCGAAACACTTCACTTTTAGTGTGTTTTCACTTCGCTCGAAAATTAGCAAATGGCAGCACTGCACTGGACCTAAACTTAATGAAAAATATTTGGAATTGGGTGTTTTGTTAAGTAAGTAGCGAGAAAGTGTTTGTTTTAACCAAAATTTGCAATCACGATGATTACGAATGCTTCGGTTACATTCACATTCTATACTGAATGGAACTCTACCATTCAATAACACATTACGTTTGTTTTTGTTTCAAAATAATTTAGGCCACTCAGGAATGAGGTTGTTTTTGATACAAACAAACAATCAAAATTTTGAAAATAATGTCGAGTCAATGCAGATCCTGCTGATTCAATCATTTTACAGCTCTGGTATGTAGTTCTACTTACCAAATTGTGTTTATTTTTTGATAAGGGGGTCCAGGATAATTGCGATTTTTATTAGATTGGCATGAAGCGAAATGCTGTGTGTACATACATATTTATTTACATGGTACTCCTTTTGTCGTGCAAACGTCTTTTACATAAAGTTTGTTCGAGTGATATATCACCCTCAGAGACATACATAATTACTGGTTATATCAATATTCTCAAAAGAGAAGGATTCGGGGCAAAGTCCCTACATTAGAAGATGTGAACTGTAATGTTAATAGATTGTAGGGCGATACTTTAACACCTAAAGTACATCTACAAAAGTGGTTTCTGAAGTACATATCACTCTTTCTGAAGTACATTTTACAGTGTCTGAAGTTCAATTAATTAATCTGAAGAACATTTTTCGGGTTCTGAAGTACAATTTACGAATGTGAAATCCAATTAACGAATTCTGAAGTACATTTTACTAATCTGAAGTACATTTTTGGTTTTGGAAGTTCAAATGACTAATCTGAAATCCAATTATCGGATTGTGAAGTACATTTTTCGATTTCTGAAGAACAATTGACTAATCTGAAGTCCAATTAACAGTTTCTGACGTACGTTTGACTAATCTAAGGTACATTTGATGATTTCTGAAATATAATTGACGCTTTCTGAAGTACTAGTAGAAAAGGTGTAGAGACAGTTCTATAGGGGTTTTTTCCATACATTGGAATTAAGGATGAA